CATTGATGCAGACTTTCCAGTGGATTGCTCTTGGAAAAGGCTCAGCGCGCGTACATACATATGAATGTATACAAACATCACTAGCTACGAGTATGTTGATTTTGAAATCAGCTCAATAAATAAAAAAATTAAAATATTTGAAATTACTTACATTCTTTTAGATTATTTTGCAAAGGTGTTCCGGTAAGAACAATTCGTCGTTTAGTTCTCATCTTTGTTACTGCTTTACTAATGGATGTTTTCTCGTTTTTTAGCAGGTGCCCCTCGTCGCACACAACCAGATCTGGACCAGGATCAACTAATGATTGCTGCAATGCCTCGCGTTGTTTCTTGCGTAAACCCTTTGCCTTTTCATTCGCCAATATACGGTACATATCATATCCGATGACGCATGCTCCGCCTTCCTCAAACCATTCATTCAATTTAAAAATGCGAGTAGGTTTGTCCTTGTACTTGGACATATCATAAACTTCCACATTACGTTTATTGGCAAATCCTATCCAATGTTTAAATTCACGTGCCCAGTTGTTAAGAGTGCTTAATGGTGTTATTATTAATACACGTTCTACGCCTGTTCGCCTTGAATTCACCAACAAGGTGTGGGATAGTGTCACAATTTGCAGTGTTTTTCCTAAACCCATACAATGAGCCAGAATACATCCTGATCCAGCATTGTCTTCAGCTTCTTTGATAGTTTCAAAACAAGCATCCCACATAAACTTAACACCGGAAACCTGATGGGGCTTCAATTTCTTTAAAATTCCTTTGTCAACTTGAAGTAGAGGTTTCTTTGTTTCCTCGTCAAAATCCAATACTAAATCAGTGACTTCAACATTTTCTGGCTTTTCATAGATTTGATTGTAAAGCTTTTGACGTTCTTCTATGCGTTTGCGACGTTCTTCCTCTTCTTTAGCGGCATTCTTTGTGCTTATATCAAGATCCTTAGTTTTAATTATTTTGCGGATATGTTTGCGTTTGTTTTTATTCTTTTCATCGGAATCGTCATCATCATCCTCATCAGAGTTTGCGTTCTTTTTGCCCCTTCCCTTCCGCTTAACAACGTCATCATTGTCACTGCTGTCTTGGCCGCGTCGAATGCGTCCGCGTTTTTTCGCAGCTGGCTGCGGCGCAAAATCAGAATCATCATCACTACTCNAAAATGCGCAAAGATTTTGTGTATGAAATACGAGCATTAAAGCGTGTTACTCATACGCCACGTACACCCGCATAACATGCTTTACTGCTCGTATTTCATATAAAAAATCTTTGCGCATTTTCATTTGACCACTCATATCTCGTATTTATCCATCGATTTTCTTCATCAGTAATTTTTATTTTTTTTTTGTTTGTAACAGAACAGGCTATAGTACAAATGCAAACATTTTTTAAATATTTCGTCTGTTAAAGTTTGATTCTTTTTCAGTTTTTCATAAAAAAATAAAAAAAGCTGGAATGATTAATTAATTTGTCAGAAACTAGAAGCCCTATCGGAAAGTGATGTATATACCAGGGACCAAAAATAACTGTTATCTCGAATTTACCAATTGAAAACTTTGCCCGAATTCTGAAATTTAACGAAAACGTTGTTTCATAACAGTTATTAGATGAGAAATATGTTTTCCGTTGCCGATAATAGTTATTTCCCAACGTTTATTTTTTACGTTGCCAATAACTGTTATTGCACAACGTTTATTATTTACATTGCCCATAAGAGTTATTTCGCAACGTTTATTTTTTACGTTGCCGATTAGAGTTATTTCCCAATTTCCCAAGTAATTAGCGAAATTTTGTATTTTGCATTGATGCAGACTTTCCAGTGGATTGCTCTTGGAAAAGGCTCAGCGCGCGTACATACATATGAATGTATACAAACATCACTAGCTACGAGTATGTTGATTTTGAAATCAGCTCAATAAATAAAAAAATTAAAATATTTGAAATTACTTACATTCTTTTAGATTATTTTGCAAAGGTGTTCCGGTAAGAACAATTCGTCGTTTAGTTCTCATCTTTGTTACTGCTTTACTAATGGATGTTTTCTCGTTTTTTAGCAGGTGCCCCTCGTCGCACACAACCAGATCTGGACCAGGATCAACTAATGATTGCTGCAATGCCTCGCGTTGTTTCTTGCGTAAACCCTTTGCCTTTTCATTCGCCAATATACGGTACATATCATATCCGATGACGCATGCTCCGCCTTCCTCAAACCATTCATTCAATTTAAAAATGCGAGTAGGTTTGTCCTTGTACTTGGACATATCATAAACTTCCACATTACGTTTATTGGCAAATCCTATCCAATGTTTAAATTCACGTGCCCAGTTGTTAAGAGTGCTTAATGGTGTTATTATTAATACACGTTCTACGCCTGTTCGCCTTGAGTTCACCAACAAAGTGTGGGATAATGTCACAATTTGCAGTGTTTTTCCTAAACCCATACAATGAGCCAGAATACATCCTGATCCAGCATTGTCTTCAGCTTCTTTGATAGTTTCAAAACAAGCATCCCACATAAACTTAACACCGGAAACCTGATGGGGCTTCAATTTCTTTAAAATTCCTTTGTCAACTTGAAGCAGAGGTTTCTTTGTTTCCTCGTCAAAATCCAATACTAAATCAGTGACTTCAACATTTTCTGGCTTTTCATAGATTTGATTGTAAAGCTTTTGACGTTCTTCTATGCGTTTGCGACGTTCTTCCTCTTCTTTAGCGGCATTCTTTGTGCTTATATCAAGATCCTTAGTTTTAATTATTTTGCGGATATGTTTGCGTTTGTTTTTATTCTTTTCATCGGAATCGTCATCATCATCCTCATCAGAGTTTGCGTTCTTTTTGCCCCTTCCCTTCCGCTTAACAACGTCATCATTGTCACTGCTGTCTTGGCCGCGTCGAATGCGTCCGCGTTTTTTCGCAGCTGGCTGCGGCGCAAAATCAGAATCATCATCACTACTCTTTTTTCTTTTATAAAATACACGTTTTTTGCGAGCCGGTATCACTTCACTGTCACTGCTTTTAACATCGGTCTCTTCGGAATTTTCTCCATCTAAAACTGTATCATTCTTTTGATTTGTAGATTCCGATTCAGATGAATCGGAGGTCATAACTTTTTTTCTAAAGGATGCTGACGGTTTGTTTTTAAGGTATGAGTTATTGTTGCTATTTCTACGGTCGCGCTTATCTTGGGTTTTTATTGAAGTATCTCCGCCATTAACTTTAGAACCAGCTACACGTTCTGCTAACAGGCTGTCCGTGAGAGGGAAGGGTGTCCTTTTTATGCGCACAGTACACTGCCTTAAACGGGGTAATTCTCTCAGTTTCACCGGCGGGTTAGACTTGCTGGGCTGCGCCGACGCCTCCGATTTTGATGGGACCGATTTTTTGGTTTTTGAAACGGACTTCACTATTTCTTCTTCCTCCTCGCTCTCCTCACTATCCGTCAAGTCAATGACCACGCAATTGCTTCGGTTCTTGCGTTTTGGTAATCGTCTTGTCTGGGCGTCCGATAATGTACTTGTTCTTTCGTTATTTTTATCCACTAATGGTTTCTCCAATAGCTTTTCTAATGGGACAACGCGTAATTTAAATTCAGTCGTCGTTTTTTGTACACACAAGGTAGTTTTGTTTACTGTTTTACTATTGGATGCCGAGTCATTATTTTCACTGCAGTTGCTTTTATCATTTCCATCTGAGCTGGAGCCATTTTTTGTATCTTGATGTTTGGGATGAGATTTTTGAGGAATTAATTTACTCTCTCTGTTTTGGGCAATACTACCGTTTAGCTGATTTTCTTCCGCTGAATTTGCATCAGAATCCGAATTTGCTTTTTCGTGGCCCATAGATGCAGTTTCTCAGTAAACAACACAATATACTATCGATACTATTCTCTGCTGGCTTGGGTTTTAGATGACTTCAAGTAGCATCCGGATTCAGACTATATGTATATTTGAGCTCAAGCGCATCTGCAAAAGAAATATTAGTTATTTAACCTATTTATTTTATTTTATTCCCACTGATGTGTGTATAAATTGTCGAATTTCACCAATGAAAAAATTGATTATTTTTTTTTAATACATACATATACATATATGGCAGCCGAATACCGGACAAAAAATAATTTTACCAATTTTCTCCACAAAAGCTAGAGTATTTGAAATTGTTTTTCAATGATCCTAGATTTATTATCCCAGAAACAGCATCTGTATTTAGCATATATTTTTCGGTCTTTTGTGAACGCAGCACATATATATTCAGTTGCAACATCAACAATACATATGTATAATATTTTTCCATAACTTTGTACTTTGTGCTCGGGATTTTTACCCCGTAAAATTTGTTACAAACATTCCTAGGCAGGGAAAATATCCGACTACTTTTGAAGCACAAGTGGTATTCAACGGATTATTTTTAGACTCGGATTTCGGCCAAGCACAATGCAGTGAATAGCATCCGTAACGAGCTGAATTGCAAGGCGTAGCCTTCTTATTTGTACTTTCTCTGCGACATGAGACAATCCCTCATACAATGAGCAAAGATTTTTTTTTACCGTAGATTCGCCTAATGAACATATTCTCCCTACACAAAATTTGGAAATTGCCTCCACGCCACGAGCCACAGCAAGCTGCGTGCATTTTCTTGTTGGTTTTGTGAACAATATACGTGAACAAAGGGGAGTACTCCATAATCCCGACTTTAAAGATCCCGACAAGACATAACAAAGACAATTTTTAAAAATCCAGACAATAAAAAATCCAGACAGGGCATAATACAGACATAACAAAATCCAGACCAAATAAAATACAGATAACACATTATTCAGACAAGACAAAATCCCGACAACTCAAAATCCCGACAAGACACAATCCAGACAAAAAAATACAATGCGTCCGGCAATGGAATTGATGACTTATGCTTAAATATAAACGGTTACCACTCCACATTTTTTCGCTCCTTCACTGCAAGGAGCCTAACCTTCTCCCCTACAAAATCCTCGGCAACGGGTTTACCACAAGGACGAAAGCTGCGTATTCTCGTCGATGGCAAACCAATTCCGACGGTGAATAACCGAAAAATTGTCGGATCTAGCTCTCGTTCCCGGCGCATACAACCGAAATTGCCAACAAAGTACAGAGCCGTAGCATAGTCCTCAATTCCCCAATTCGGCAGTACTTGGGCAAAGACAAATAAACGGTGTTTCAAACATACAAGGCAATTGGCCGTCCGGTTCTAAATTATGCAGCTCGCCGGGGACAATTGGTTCGCAGTGGACGAAACTACAGACATGCCACAATACAACACCCCGGACAACCAGGGGATGCCCTCTGAACATAACATCCACAGCGTAGCCGAAATTCTCCCAGTAATGGGAACACCATCATTCTCAGCAAGCGGTTCCTAGTAGGGTGCTACAGACGTCAGCACTCGAACTTGCTTGAGCCGAAGGACCAGGTCCAGCACTACGCACAACACCCTTGGGACTGGGACTGTACAGACAGGCTATTAACGGCATTTCAAACTCCAGTCGAGTGAATGCCGTCTATAGTGCTAATCACCACCTGTGAACGAGTGTGAGCTTCAATTGCCACGAGATACCCGCGTAACTATGGCCCAACTTGCCACCCAACATCCAAAAAGAGTGTCCAGCAGGTGGAGATTCCCCCCCATGACACCAACCACGTCTTTACGTGCCCACTCAATTCAACTCAACAAACATCCCTCTCCCTCTGGTTCTACCTCATTGAAATATCAAGTTTCCTGGGCCTACCGTTAGTTGAGCCTGCGGACAATTACGGACTAAGTAAGCCCTTACAACAATAACAACTGTGTCTTTTGTACTTTTGAGTGAAAACGGAAGACAATCATGACAAAAATCCCGACAAAATATAAAAATAATTTAAAAATCGCGCGCGACAAAGTAAAATCAGCTGCTCTACTGCTGCTACCTATTCAATTTGATTTGCTCTACACAGAATATTCCATGATACAAACAAGTAATTTTTAGCAAAAAAAAACCGACTTAAAAAAAAATATATATATATCTATATATTTCATGATCCAATGATCGGATCTAAACCAAATTAGTATGGGTCCACCTCTGAGACACTACCTTTCCGTTGCAATTATTGAAATCGGTTGACGTAGTGCAAAGTTATGCGGTAACATACATAAAAAAAAAATATTCCGACGAACTCACAACCTCCTCCTTTTTTGGAAGTCGGTTAAAAAGAAGGTAGTTTCTTTCACTCAATGACTTTTGCCGCCATGTTAGCTATTTGACTTTTGCAGCAGCAAAAAAAAAAAAATTTCAAATGCCTTTGAAAAAATTTCAAACAACAGATTTTAAAACGAAAAATCATTAATAATTTTTATAAAATCAAAAATTAATTGCGCGTTTGAAAACTGTAGGAATCTTATAAATTTGTGCAAGGATTCCAGATTGAAATTTTTAAAATTTTCTCGTTTATTAAAAATAGTCGTTAGAAGCTTGTAACGTGAGGGAATAAAATCTTCCCGAAGTGCGATTTGTTTGTTCAAAGTAATATATTTTTTTTCATTTATTTATTTCGGTTCAGGCATTAGTACAATAAGATTCAATCTTTTATAGTACAACAATGATAAAAGTAAAGATAATATTACGTTAAAATTGGCCCCATTTAACTTCTTAAATGTAAAAGAGCTTTTTGGAAAACACAATCGTCCACAAACACAATCGTCTTCAAAATGTTTAGTTGGTATGCACTATTTATCTCTGCGTACGATGAGACCTCATAGAAAATAACTAATTAACTTATATATGTACAAACATTATGGTATGTTAACAAAGCTCAAAAAATCACTTAATTATATATTATTGCAAATACGTAAATGGTTCATCAATTTTTAGAGAAATAATTATAGAGTATTTTTGAAGTTGCTTCTGTTGATTTTGCTCCTAATGGTAGCGNTATAGAGTATTTTTGAAGTTGCTTCTGTTGATTTTGCTCCTAATGGTAGCGGGTATAGAGTTCCAAATTCTAATAGCATTGATGAAAAACAGTCTTGTGGAGCTCATATGTATGTACGTATGTATTTCCTCAATTTCAGAGGTTTTGGAGAAACTCAATCGTATGTAAGTATATTTGCATACATATGTACATTTTACTACATATATCACTCCCCACAAAAAAAAATCGGCACTGTTTTCCATTGGAATTATAAAATCTATTATATTTTTAGGCCTTCACCAAAACATTTCGGAAAACATATGATGATTTACGTCAGCTGAACCGATTTAAAAATACGTCCTTGAGTTTTTTATGAATGAAAATAGGTTTTTTAGTTTTTTTTTTTATGAAAAAAATCACCTCAGATGGCAAACCAGTTTAAGCTTAAAAAACCGAAACTTTTTTTAGTGATGCAGTCCAATATACATAAGTAGTACATAAATAGAAAACTTGCAGATATTTTATAAAAATCCGCAAATCTTTATGGCCCTGACATGCCTTCTTTTCAGATTTCCTGCGGTGAATTAATGTAATGTAAAAATGCCTGTAACCGTCAAAAAAGTTTGAAGTGAAACTACCTTCTATTTTTTTATCATGGAATATTCAACGTGAAATGCGTTGAGAACAAAAAAATTTATCAGAAAGCTTTTTGCTCCGGCCAATCAGAAAAACCCAAAAGCTTTCATTTGACACGCCAACGTTCAAAAAATGTATATTCTGAAAAATATTAAAAATTATCACAGATGCCGTGTGTTACACATATCATTTTGTCTAGGGGTGTACAACGGTACACATAATACCAGGAATTCCCATATAACGGTAATTTCGGGAAATCCAAATTCTCCGATAAATCAGTAAATAATGAAGCTTATTTATTCAAAATGTATATTGTTTTTGTTATTTAATTGCCTTATAACAATTATATTCAACAATTTTTATTGAGCTTGAGGCCGTTTTTAATGAAAAACTTATTGTGGAAAAGCAACAATAATTTGCTCACCTATCCAAAAATGTGCTCATCTATAACAAAATATTGGGAAATGGGCGTGGCACCGCCCACCTATTACCACGCATGTGTATTTGTACGAAACTCGGTATAATTATTGTACTTTCTACATAAAAACAAAATGTTGAAAAATTTTGAAATCGGACTAAAATTACGCCCACTTTTGATATAACTGTAAATTTCAAAAACGCTTGAAACTTCCCATATTTCGAAATTTAAGGACGCTAATTTACTCAAAATTGATACTCACAGCAATCCCTTAAAAATAAATATTATGGAATTTTAAAAAATGGGTGTGGTACCGCCCACTTATAACTATATAAGTTTATCTCACTAAGTCTAACTGAACATACTATCGAAATTGCTAGAAATAGGAGTAACACCACTCTGCTTACCATGTAACGGTAGTTTTCAGAAACGTGAAAAACTATATTTAATGTTCGGCTTCGCCCGAACTCGAAACTTTTTTATTTGTTTCATATTTGTTTTAATACTGGGAAAGAAGTGGTGTTGTTCGGAAAAAAACTTTCAGGCACAACCAAGCAAAGAAATACAATTTTATCAACATTTATAATTTAGAACATATTCGCACTGAAATGTTATGCGATGAAATGGCTACGCACAAAAATTTCTCTGTGGTAAGATTTTGCACGCGAGAAACTTGACAGTTCGTATTCGAGCGTCTATAGCAGGTATAGAGGTGGGGTAAAACAAGGCTGCAATATTGCACTCAGTGTTGCCGCGGCCGAAAAGTAAAATTTACCAAAACCGTTAAAAACTTTACCAAATCCCGTAAAAAAATTAAACATTTTAACAGGCAGGAAAAAATTTATCAATTTTACTTTAATTTAAGCAAAACGGCAACGCTGATTGCAGTAGTAATAACGAAATCGCAACTAACGCGAAGGTGCACAGCTCGTTCCTTCCTTTTATGAATGGAACTCAATGCCGGCGAACGTCGAACTCACCACTG